CGCAACCCCCTGCAGTTTTCAATTGGGTACGGTATTGTTCTACCCTTCCTGGCTGAAATTGTTGTGCGATAATGCTCCATGTCATTAAACAGCTGCCGTCTGTCACCTTACAATGAAGTCATTCCTCTCTAAACAATGAGTTTATACAGCCCTTTTGGGTCCTTCCAGATAAAATTTGCTCGTGAACTGGCAATTATGATCTTTCGAGTACGGTAAGGTGATGCTTGTTTGTCTCTCTTGACAGCAGTTGGAGTCCTTCAAACGGGTGTTGTCCCTTTTGTCAGCTTGTGTGATATCCTGGCAGTGACTCCGCAGCTCAGATGTAAATATTTATTCCTGTAAAACCCTGATGCCTGTAAATGCCTCTGTGCTGGGGTGGATTTAGTAGTCTTTACACTTGGAACCCGTTCGTTATCGTGTTCTTGTTGTTATTTTGGCTCTTAGAGGAAATTCAATGTTCTCCTACAGATGTCTTATACCATAGAACGTGAAAAAGGCAAATCCCCAGCAAAATGGTAAAACTACTAAAATAGGGTGAGAGTTGAGACATGAATTAACCAAAAATGGAGCAGTGAGAAGGGTTCTGGGCAGGGTTAAAAACACATTTGAAAAACGGGTCTCATGTAAACCCGTTTGGTCCCCGTTAACAGCTGTTTTTCAGCACCTGGCTTGACACCTAGTTCATTAATGGAAATGAACGTGGATTAACGCCAAAGCTCTTAACAGTGATGAATTTGAGAGTCCCTTTTCATCCAGACTTTGTTTCTGAAGTCTGCTTCTCTCTCCTTAGTGGTCAGTTTGCTTTTAGCAGTCTTGCTGTAATTACAGATATGAATGGGAGAGACAGAGAAGGCGTCTACTAGGTTTTTCCGGTGCTCCTGCTTAAGCAGCAGTGATATTAAAACAACCTCTAGCTCCTCAAAGAGTGGCCCTGTCAACTTGCTGAAATGATGGAATGGTAGTTAGGTTATTAGAAGGAAAATTGGCACAAATTGAGAGAGAGGATGGTCTGGCAGCAACCACAAGCAGCCAGCGACTCAGTGGCTTAATCTCTGCCCTCGGGCTGCTCTCTACAATATAGATGACGCCTTGTCAGTGAAGATGATGTGCTGGGTCACCCCTGAGTCCAATGGGCTAAATTGGCCATGGAGGGAAGGATTGCTGCGGTGTAGAGACAGCAAGCCACATAATCTAATTTTTTTTTCTTTTTTTTTTTTAATGTATGTCATCATTTGGGTACTGACAGTAATTGTGAAGGGATCCCGTTCTCATTAGTGTCCCCTAGACACAGCTATCTCTGTATGCTCGTGCTTTCAAGAAATAGTCCTAAGCTTTCACAAGGATTGCTTTGCCCCCTCTTGGAAAGTTTCACACATGGTTTCTCTTTTGCCTTGTTATTTCTTGGGTACAGCAGGAGGGGAAGATGGGGGAAGGAAGGAACCACTTCCTCTGAGAGCCATTGTGTTGGCAAAGAGAAGTAAGAAAAACCCTGCAGCTGTTGGCAACTAAGAGGTCTTAGGGCAGAGCAGTAATGTCCATTGGGTGAAGATGAACGCTGGGAGAGGATAAGGGAATTCATCTTTAGCAGAGGTTATTTGCGAGGGATCAAGAATACTTGGCTGGATTTCGTATTGACCCAACAAGCTCTGTGACAACTGAACCATCAGGCAGGTGTGCTGTATAGTTGTGTTCCTCAGTGGAACCTACAAGTACGCTGCAGGGATCAGATCCATAGAATCTATAAAATTGGGGTTTTTTTCCATTGTTATCTTTCTGTTGTTTTATTCATTTGTTCAGTTTGTCTGCATCGGCTGTAGTCCTATGGCTACTGCCAAAGCTGGATGAGGATGCTACTGCAAGTGCCATTGCTGCAACAGTGCTCATGTGCTCCTCAAAACCCTGACAGTGAGAGTGGGACCCCTCCTCTGAGGTGCTCTAGAGACTTAGTTTGCACTGAAGTCAAAGGAAATGCAATTTAGAAAGGAGCCCAGGTGTGCTTGTAGAAATGAGTGCCCTCTCTGCGGACGGAACTTGCCTATTAACCCCCCCAAATGTTGGCAGCTCAGTGAAACCCCTACCTTGTGGTAGAAAAGGATTATAAAGAAAAGTCTGTTACGCTTGTTTTTTTCCTAAATCTGCAGGAGTTAGTGGATTGGCAGAGCTGTCAGTGGATGGTGGAATTTAGTCTGGAGAAATTTTAATGGCTTACTCAAGTTAATTCAGGCAGCGAGTGACAAAACCTGTCCCCCGGGGCTTTGCATCACAACGTACAGTAGTCGATGCCTGGAGTCAGAGCCTTTAACTATCTTTAGCCAATAAAGCATTTAAGGAATATAATCAACGTAATTTGACTTCAGTTCCACCAAAGTAAAGAAAGGGCTTAAGCATTTTGTGGAATTAGAACAGATCTTGGCCTGTGCCTAACCCTTTATCTCAAAGCAGGAACTTGATGCTAATGGGGCCATTAACCTGAGAAAACAGGTAAAAGTGTTTGGTTTTGTGGTTTCCTAAAAATTGTCTTGTTAGCAATGGAAATTTTGGTGCTCTTGGTGGTAAAGGTGGTTTGGGTAAAGAAAAAAGCAAAGGAATAAACTTGTTATTCTTTATTAAATATGACCTTTGCTGTAATTTTGGGCTAAAGTGGCAATTGTGTATGGATTTCTTAAAGAAGGGCTCCAACAGAGAGAATAGATGAAGGGCAAAATTTAAAAATGAACTCAATTCATTTTATAATGTAAACAATGTAGAGAATAAATGAAGCAAAAAGTGAAGCTGATTTCTGAAAGAAAATAGTTGACTTAGTCCAGGGCAAAGCTGGGGACTGCACAGCTAAGCTTCTATCTTTTCTTGTCTTTGCAGGTCCAAAATAACGTGTAAGCATTTTCCTTAGTTATTTTAAGCTATGGGTCAGGGATTTTTTCAACCTCCCTACTAGGGCGGTTGTTTAACAGATTGTGTTTTACATAAAGGGATAGGAATTGGAGACAAATAACGGAGTGATTTTCGAGAGGTGTAAGTGTCATCTAGGTGCCTACTGCTCCATGAAAGTCTTGAAAGTTGTTCCCATTCAATTGAGTCAGTCAGGGTTTTTCTGTTTCTTGGAGATTTTCGGGGGGTTGTTCTTTGGTTGGTTGGTTTGGTTTGGCTTAATTGTGACTTATGTATGGAAAATGCAGCTTCTAAGGCCTGGAGAAATCATGATTTCTCCAGGTGTGCTTGTGACCTGTAGAACATCTTCAAAACAAAGAGCATATGTAAGACAAGAGAGGGTATTTTGTGCATGAAACATGATATAAAAGGTTGGACCAAATCTTTCAGTCTCTTACTCAGGCAAGACTCCACCTAGAATCAATAGGAATTTTGTCTAATAAATGGGTGTGATAAATCCTGTTGTCTGCTGATCCCTGTTGAAGACAAGTGATGACCAAACTTCTTGTTGTTGGTTTAAAGTGTGCCTTTAATATAACTTTCTCCTTCCTGCCATAAGCAGGGAAAGTGCTAAAGTTAATATGGGCATATTGATGTGTTTAGGTGAATTATGCTTTCAAGGAGATGAAACACATGAAACAAAATAATTTGTCTTTGCACAGGTTGCAGCTGTGAGGCAGGGGAATTACACAGGGTTGTTTTTTTCTTGCCATTCTTAGATTTTTTTTTTTTCCACATGTAAAATATGATTTTCGTGTGGTTGTGCGGATTTTGAGCTCTTCCAAGTCCTCCTGTGGGCATTCTCTCCTGAACAATCATCAAATGGAGAAATTGTAATTAAAGCCAAGTTTTTTGAAAGTGGCAGGTGGCTCTGAAATGCCTGAATTCTGCGATGATCAACTTTGGACACTGCTGAACACAGGCCATTTCCCCTCTTTCCCGGGTGGAAAGATGGGGGGAATGGTCTAAAAGTCACGTCTCATTAGTGTTCTTTCTTGAAACTGAAGCATCCAAAAATTATCATCACTTATGGAACCTCTAGCCAAGTAATTAGTTGAAATTACTGTCCTTAATTATCAATAATGACATGAGGGGTTTTTTTGTATTTTTACTTTTGTTCAGTATTTAAAATGATCTGTTTTCCTTATTAGAGTACAACTCTTCCTAAACCATAATATGTCATTTGTCTCACAGAACAGGTTATTTTTTGTTACAATGTTCTTTTCCCCTGCAAAACTGTGTGGTTGTTTTGAACTTAGATGTACATCTGGAAATCTGATAGGGTAACAATTTACAGGGTGTGAAAATTTTCAAAAATTTGGTGTCCTTTGGCAGGGAGAAAAACTTTTTGAAGCAGCATTTTAATTTTCTCAACAAAGTAGGCAATTTTGCCACTGCCTTCTCTTTTTGAATTGTGCTTTTTTTTTATGCCAGGGTGCAATAAACAATGTGCTTTAAACTGGAGCTCTCCAGACTGCTTTTCCTTTTTAAAGAGTGTAGGCAACTAATCGGCAGCAACCAGCCACATAGCTGGAGTGTTTTCCAGTCTAGGCAATATCATACTAATTTAATGCACACATGGATGCTTCACACAATCTGCAAATTCATTGCTGGCATCTTGCATTAGTCATCTGACAGATTGCCAAGTGTTTCATATTCCTTTCATGTGACTTTATTACAAAACACACACACACACGCACTGCCTTATTTCTGCCAGTAGCCAGTTTAGTGAGAATTCACTGCAGTTCTGTTTACAACAGCCATGGAGAGAAATCTGCACTTATTTGCAACTATCCTCTGCTTTAAAATGCAAAAGTCCCGGTTTGCGTTGTGCCGCTCTCTTCTTATATAATGACATTAAGCAGCAGCCTGCAGAGAAAACCAGACTCAATGAAAAATGTAATCGCATTGTTTTTTATTCATAATACTTATGCTATTAATTAAATACTGATTTTTTTTTTTTTTGTTTCTGCTTTGTGCCAATTGACATCATCTTCTGCATCTAGTGCACATGAAAACTGCGTAGTCTCCTAACTTGCCTTCTCTTTTTAATCTCCTTTTCCACTTTCTAGTAACGGCACAGCTAACAAGATGAATGGAGCTTTGGATCATTCAGACCAACCAGACCCAGATGCCATTAAGATGTTTGTTGGACAGATTCCCCGTTCATGGTCGGAAAAAGAGTTAAAAGAACTTTTTGAGCCTTATGGAGCTGTCTACCAGATTAATGTTCTCCGAGACAGAAGTCAGAACCCTCCCCAAAGTAAAGGTACAGTAGTTGTGCTCTCTTTGCTTTCAATTTGTTTTCTTCCCGATGATCTTGCTTGCCTTCAGGATTTCCAAAGAGGTTTGCATCTGGGCTGTCTGTTTTGAAGCATACTGTGTTGAGCTATGCAGCAGTCCTAAGAGGAGAGGACTCCTGAATACCTATCGATTACTGTCTTCCTCCTCTTCTTAAATTGCAGTTTAAATGTCTGTTATCTGGAAGCTCACATTCCAACTGTGCAAAAAATAACAAAAGATTGCCGTCCTTGTTTAAATTATTATTGCCAAGAGACATGGAAACCTGAGTGGTCCCTTTCCCAGGATTAGCTCATGAAAAATATAATTTTCTACTTCCTTTCGTTTCCTCTCTTTGCACCCCAGGTGGGAATAATTTTCAGGATACAAAAGGGGAGAAAGAATGGCAGTGGGCTATTGCCACGTCATTGCTCCAGAGGCAATAAAAATTAAAATATAGAGTCACCCTGCTCTTTTTCCAAAATCTGATTTCTTTTCTGCAGTCATGTTAAAGGATTGATTTTTGGCACTCGTATTTTTCTAAAAGAAAGGGTTGTTTTTCCTTCCTGCATTTTTTTCCATACATATGTAAAGTATTTGTCCTTAACTATATTGCTTTTTTTAACTATATATCTATGTGCATTTAGGCATGTGAGAATTCTGTGTATTATAGCTATGTAAGTATAACATATGCTTACATGTAGACTGAAAGTGAATATTTTGTTTCACAGAATGCATTTTTCTCCCTAAATAGCTGTATACTTTCATTTACACTTGGAGTTCTTCAGGTTTGGAATATGAAAGTGTTGCTAGCATTACAAATAATTAGTGCAGCTCAGAGACATAACTAGATATGCATGTGTGCCTGGCTGTAAGGTAACTAGGTAGTTATTCATTCTTACTGCACTCCTGCCGCTGCTTCTAAAAACCTTTAAAGCACACAAGCTACGGAGAATATCATAAAATTATTTTGTGGGCTAGCAGCTAACTAACAGTGCAAAACAGCACTCACTTGAGATTTCCAGTTCAGTGAGAGGTGACTGCTATTGTGTGAGGCACAGCACAACTTTGGGGGCTCCTGTGCTTTTGTGCAAAGCACTGCCAAGGCTCAGCATTTCCTCCTTGCCCTGGTATGGGGCAGAGGATCCTCTCTCAGTGGCCTCTTTGCTGCCCCGATTTAAGCAGTCTTGTGCTTTGAGTGATACTAGTTCATTTTGGGTTGCTTGCATACATCACTTCTGGTTAAAAGACTTGGTGCATTGGTGTCGCGGGGCAGGTGTTCATCTCACCATACCTTGCTGCTAATCAAGTCCCCGTACTGGATTGCTCTTTCCCTTCAGAAGCAGAAGGTATTTTTGGTTGGAGTGTTTCAGTGTAGTTCTGCTTCCAGCTCCCTCCGTTCCCCAGGATTGATGTATTGTAGCATGTAGCCCCCTGCTATGCTAGCACAGAGCCCTCACCAAGTGTCTTTTTCTTGTAACGCTGGATAGAAGACAGCATTAAGAGGTCAAGCAACTGGATTTTCTGCAGTCCAGGCTGCTATGGATGAGCAAACTCCTACTTAGTCTAAACCACTAAAATGCTGAACTTTGAGACTCATCCATTTAGAAAGAGCTGATTCCCGGGCCACAGAAATGCCTTCCCACTAAGCAGTAAATGAAGTGAGAATGATATTGTGGTTAGACAAAAGAAAGCCATTGATTCCCATTTCTATAGTGTTTTCCATTATACTGTACCTGTCTGTCAGGCAGCTGGAAGGCATAAGGATTAAGCACAGGTCATGCAAATCATTGCAGACTAATTATGAAGGCTTGTAGTCCCCATATTCAATATTCTTTTTGAAGGGTGGTTGGTTTTGGTGCTTTTTGGTTTTTTTTTTTTCTTGGACTCTTTTCAGCCATGCAGAGATGATGCTTTTATATCACTTCAGGCATTATATGTTTTAATGAGTAAATGAAATTAATCCTCAAGAAAGACTTATATTTCCCTGACACAGCAGCAAGCTCCTCTGGTGGTCAGCTTTTCCCTTGGAAGGTTTGGAGGGGTATATCTCCATGCTGGCTCTATCCTTCCTCCTGGCTGAGTCTGCCAGCAAGGTTGCTAGATATAGAAACCTCTTGAGTTTCTTGTGGATATCTCTTGACTAGGAATGATCTTTAATTTCTTAATCGAGTAGCACAAAGGATTCTGTGTGAGAGATTGTTAAGAATGTTAGAAGCAAACAAACAAACAAAATTGCCCTGAACAATGTCTGATAGTCTTGTCATCACGATGCATGAGAAATACTTCACCTGTGCTATCTAATTGGCATTTAATAACGAAGCTGAGTTTTGACTTTTTGTTCGGAGGTGTGGTCGAATTCCGTGCTCTCCTTCTGTGTAAACACCCACACGAAACAACCATTTTTATTTTATTTGAGCTGGGTGGATTGGGGTAACGCCAGGCATTTTCCTGCCTGCTGCCTCTCTGCATCATCTCCAGTTTTGCAAAACAGTGTATAAGGGGACCTTGTGGTCGGGTGATGCTGGAAAAAGTCCATTTTTCATTTCATTGCGTGGTCATGGCTGTGTGTCTTGCAGGACATTCACAGGCTGGTATCACCCAGAAATTTTCTCTGAGAATTCTGCAAGCCATGAATTGCAATGACAAAAATGCAAGTTAGTGTTACTACACCATGCGGGGGTGGTGGTGGTTTGGTTTTGTTCTTTGCAGAAAGGCATTTTGATTTTCGAAAGATCTCTCTCTTACCAGACAAGGGCTGTGTATTTCTGTTAGCTTGGCCAAAGGGGCTTCTCCAATTTGGGCAGAATTTGTCTCAGATGAGCTGTTTATGAAGCTGCAATCTGAGTCTCTCCCGATTCTGTCAAAAATAACCATAGGCTGCTTCTCTCTCTCCTGCTGTTATTAAGACTGTCTTTCATACCCTCCAACGACAGACGGCCTAGTTCATGTCTTTCCTCCTTTTTTGTATTGCTTGCCAGCTCTGCAAAGCTGAAGCTGGAGGAAGAGGAGGAAGACAGGTAGAAAGCCAAGTTTTACTCACTTTCAAAAACTAGAGGAAAGCCATCTTACTTCCACAGATATATTGCTGCTAGTGCAAATGTTGAAGCTTGGCATTATTAATTGGGAACCGCAGGAATGGCTCCATTTCGATGGGTGATGGTTGGAATATCCTCTGTCGGTAGGAAACTCCTCGTGCTTTCCAGAATTTGCAGTTCTCCAGTTCTTTTTGGATGTGTGAAAGAGCTCAGCAAAGTAATTTGACTTTGTGTTTATCCCCCGTTGTTTTGTAAGGCTTTTTCCTCTTTCTGCAACAAGAGAAATCCGGGGGATTAGGTAAACTAAATTAAAAAAAAAAAAAAAAAAAAAAAGCAGGAAATCCTGTAACACTGAAATAAATGGCACTTTCAGCTTCTGAGGGCTAAGGGGATTCAAAGTCTAGGCAGATCAGCCCTCTCTGTTCCCAATCCAGCTTGCTCCCTTTATATAATTTATTCTGGGTGGATAGATGACTTTTTTCCAGAGTAGTTGTTAAAGAGAGCTTCTGCAATACCTCAAATACAGCAAGCTCTATGCGAAGGCAGTATACACTGCCACTGAGACCTCTCTTCTTCCCCACTGTTCTCCTAAGCTGGAAAGATTTCCTTGGCTGCTTTTGTTTCGGAGTCTGAGTGCTGAAGCAAGCAGATGGCACAGGGCTACTCTTGCCCTTTGAAATGCAGCAGAAGAGTCTTGGGCCAGATCCACAATGTCCTTTTGGTACCTTGCCCCTGTTTCAATACCTGTTAATTCTTGTCGGGATCAAGGTCCCCTAAACCAGCTTTGTGAGCCTGAGCCTGCTTGTGCTACCGCAGGAATCGCCTTGCAGAAAACAGGGGAGAGGCACCCGTGTAACAACTAACTCCGTGTTTCCTTGTAGCCTTTTACAGAGCCTTTATCAGATTAGAGGGAGGCTGCTGAGTGAACAAGGATGTGCTGTAGTTAAAGGCCAGTGTTTATTATTATCCTATTTAACATGGTAATTTAAGTCTACCGGGAAGCAAGCAGAGGAATCTGATAATGAGGCATTCATCTGCTGCATACAGGAGAGACTAGATGGGCAAGGCATATAGGAGGCAGAAGTTATGATGTGGCTTGTTTGGGTACCATTTCAGCTACAGTTTAGCCCTTCGAAGATACTCTTGTGCAGGCAGGAGGAACAGTTCCTCCACTCCAGCAGGTCCCTATTCACAGTCCCCCATTTCTGTGTGGTGGGAGGAGAAAAGAGAACTCGGGCAGTCCTGCACCAGAGCGGAGCTGTGCTGCTCCGCTTGTCGCACAAACCCATCCTGACTGTCCTAATCAGCAGCAAAGACATTAACCAACTCTTCCTTGCCTGCCCTTGCATCACCGCTCAGCCAACTGCACGCTCCTGCTCCTTGAAGCAATTTCAATGCATTGTGTTTTGCAAAACTATTTTAGATGCTTTTTAAAAGCTCCCTTCGGCCAGCGCTCCAGGAGTCAGCGTTTCTCTACGCATTTTGACTTATTTTGTGTTTTGAATGCTCTCACAGGTCCAAACGAACATAGTTCAGCTTTTGACATCCGATGAGTTGCATCATGAGCACATATGCTGTCGAAACTGCAGGACTTGGGACTGCAGCCGTTATGCATGTGTGGTTTAGACTAAATTTTAGTGATCACGGGTGAGAGATCTTCTGTTACAATCGCAGGCTTGAAATCTTTCATGCACTCAATGAAAAAGTGCCTTGCACGTGTTTTTTTTAGCAGGTGCTTTGTGCACTATGTGAAGTTTCACACAACAAAGACTGGCAAAAGCCAGATGTTGCAGTTAGATACAAGTACAATGGGGAGGGAAAGCAAATGATAAAGTTGAGTTTTCAACTTTCAGTTTCTGGCTATAGGATGTTTAAATTTAAACCTTAAAAAACCTTAATCCTATAATTTTATATGGCTTATAAGCTGCATTATAAACTATATTACAGATAT